CATTCAACCAAGCCTGAGAGCATCAGAATTTTTCATGGTTAAATGTCATTCCAGTGACCCTGCCAATGAAGATTACACCCTTACTTGCCAATTCCCCCTCTAGTGCAAATGTGTATGTGGGAGAGAGCTCCATTGATTTCTTTGTGGGCTTTCTGAATTCATTCCTACCAGCTCCCTGGGAATTGTGATGCATTTACTCACCTCCCTCTATCTATTTTTTTTTTCCTTACCTGTTAGCATTGCTTTCCAGCAGGAGTTAGGAAGGAAAAGAAAAAATATTTTTTTCCTGAGAGTTAGCACATTTCACTACAAGCAAACAAAGCCTGGATGAAGAGCAGCTTTCCAGCACAACGAGAGGAATAAGGCAGCCTTGCGCATCTCCAGGTAAGTTGCTCCCTGGTGAATTCACAATGACCTTTTCTCTTATGTGATCAGCTGGGCACAGAGGCAGCTCCAATTCTTCTGTAGAGCATGGTCCACAGCTCAAGCTGTCACAGCCTCCTCCAGTATGCACCGTGCCATCAGACAGGTTCATTATATTATCCATATATATTAAAGACCCTCCTAGTCCATGACTGTTCTTCCCTGAGGACTGTAACACAGCACTCAGAAATTCAGCACTCAGTGGGAATCTTTCCATTCACTGTACTGGGTGTTAGAACTAATCCAACAAGATCTTCAGTGTCACCAGAAGGTGGGTCTGTGTGTTGCAACACAGAGACATGCCCTGGGAAACCCCTACAGTTCCTAGAAGCCCTGGATCCTGCACCTTTTTGCAATCAGTAAAGACACTCCCCTTGATTTCAACAGAGGCATAATCAACTTGTTTTTTTCCCAAATTCCTGTGCACAATTTTACAAATTGCGTGAGGTCATCACCCAATCTGATATATGGCTAAAGACCAATGAAGACAGTCTCTTGATGAAAAACCCATTAAATACCATTTAAAACCTCCAAGACTCTTCTTTATGAGGCTCTTCAGATCCGTAAACTCATCTTCTGGCAGGGATCTAGATCAAACTTTTTAAATCTTCTGACAATCAGCTGTATTTGCTATTTTTATACCCAGAGGGAAAAGTTGTGAAGGCTGGACTACCCCAAATTTCTGACTGTTAGTGCCACACATTCCTTGCACTGACAGACATACTTTCATTTCTGGCAATTCTATAACATATTTCTTAGTTATCTTCAACAAGCTGAGTGATCCAGTTCAGGCACAATAACCTGTCCTCTTCATCCTCCCTGTTTTGTATAATTCCACCACATTTTCTGTTGGTCCTGTTCATCATGTATTTACAGCTTGCCACCCATATACCCCCTGGGTACTAGGTATGCCTCGTGGCTAAGGATCTGGTGTTGTAAACCTCTACATATGTAGATCACTGCATACCTGCAAACAGTCCCGTCAAGCTTCCTTGAAAGTGGAAAAGTGTAAACCTACTCACTTTCTAAATTTCATGGTGGGCCTCAAAATCAGGGGCTAGTTGGGTCTTGCCTCCTCCTGCGCTTCTGGAAAACCAGTGAATTTTCCTCATTAACTAAGACTGTACATTTGGTATCAGTAGAATTGAGCTCTTGGCTCTGTCAAAAGCACCATTGTCCAAACAAACAATTTTTTGTTCAACATAAAGAAGCTACCACCAGCAACTCTATCTCCCAAAGACCCCAGAGTACACAGATGCTAGCTCTTAGCACACTGTAACCTTCTGTCACTCTCCTCTAAGCTGCTGCTCCCCTTGCTCTGTCTCACCAGAGCTTCCTGGTCCCTCCAATTCACTTGTGGAGGTAATTTCTCTCCCCCTGTCAAATGAGTAAAGATTTTTATTTTTATTTATTATTTTTTTTATGGTGAGGGTTGCAGTGGGCTACCTTAGCTATCAGATCGGTGCATCATTTATGTGCCCATGTTACTTATTCCAATTTAACAGCCTACTGCCTTATCTTGTCAGAGTGCTTTGAAAGGCAAATCCTATCAGAACATAATAGGAAGGGAAGTTAAAGCTATTAGTACATAACACTTTCTTAACAGGTCAGGGAACAGAAGGGGAACTCTCTAATCAGCTTCAGATTCATTTTCTTTCCTTTCCCGTGATGTTGAATAATATCTAAATATCAGCTACTCCAGATGTTTTTAGGTGCTATTAACATATCCAATAAGTAACCCAACAAGTTAGTGGAAAGGACAAGTACATGAGAACAGGCATTACAGGGCCTTGGCCGTGGAGGAGCAGTGGCTGCTCTTTCTCCATCTCTAGGAACATTTTTAGGGGAAGAGCTCCACACTGAATGGGGTTATGTGCTGGCTGTTCCTCCTGCCAATTTTGTTTCGGACAGGAAAAAAACAGAAGCATGAAGAAACCTAGGATGAGCCAGGAAAGCACATCATACCTACAAAAGAGACACCTCAATGATTTAAAAAAAAAAAATAAAAAAAGTTTTTATTATGCTCTGCTCAAGTATCAGGAGAGTCCTAACTCTTTCCTCTGCCTCCTCCGTGGCCCTGCTTGGTATTCCCAGCTGGGTTCCTCTCCAGAGAAGCTGTATATTAAAGTGAGAGGGAGAGTGTTTTCTATGATCACTGTCATTAATTATCTCAATAATCTGGCTCCTTAAAGGGTCTCCTTCGGGTCTGAACTATTACTCATGTTCTGTCCTGCCCAACCCACTGTACTGCCTACACACATCATTTGGCAGCTGGATGGCACCTACGTTGTTGCTTGGATAGCATAATTGGTAACATGGCTACCTTACTACTCCCAACAAAGCAACTGCTTAGGGTTTATTTTAAGCATCACCTTCCCAGGAACGGTTGGAGCAGGGATGAAGGGATTAAGTAAAATCATTGGCATCATTCAAGATGATCTTCAGCCATTACAGATCAATGAATGCACCTTGTGCACGGGAGATGTATATAAACTGTGAGCACAACACATAGGGCTTTTACGTCCTCGTCCTATCAGACCAAAGCTGGACATAAGACACATTGTCCTAAATAATGGCAAATTGAGTCCTCTTGGTGCCCTGAAGGCCAATTGGCCCAGTCTCTCATGGTAGTTTTCCCCAAAAAATGGAGGGAATCAGCAGAAATCTCAGCTCAACTGCTGTGGAGCAAAAGCAAAATTGGCCACTTTTAGTTTGGTTCCCACACCAAAAGGGAACTAAATGAATAGCTCCATGGACTTAGTGGTAGCATCAAATCATCATGTCATAAAGCCAAGGTGCTGATTGTGATGTGTGTCTAAATATTTAATGTTCTCTTGCTTCTGTCAGAGCCTTGTGAGGAAATATTCCCAAAACACTGCAGTCATTGCTCTGCTGTGATAGCAGCAGCACAATCAACATCACACCTGCCCTGGACTCATCCAAGAAGACACACAGTGCTGCATACCTGCAAAGCCAAGGTGCTACCCACACCAGAGGTATGCAGATTACGTTTCACATCATGGTCCTGAAAAATTTCTTCATCCATATGAGTGATATAAGGTTTGTGCTGTTCAGGCAGAGAACATGCCCTGTGCTTGCTGAAACGCACAGATTCACCCTTAGCATTGTGTCTCTTGCCTCTCACAGATTTTAGTGTGCTCTTCCAGGTTTATAGCACCAATGTTTTAGGAAAGCAGCATGACTAACATCTCTTAAACCAGAACAAAAGTGTCAGCTTTTTCCCCTTTCTTCAACAGGCACCTGAAGTTTTTTCCTCATTTGAAAAACTACCCAGTAGGACTCAAAGCTTACAAATTCCCTGTGCTTGATATCCTTCCAATGAGCTTTTTCCATTTTTAGATGCCTTTTCTTATTGTAGGAACAAGACCAGCATTCTCATCTGCTTCCCATTAATTGCCTCGTTCAATCCTTGGATCTTGGAGATCTCCTTAAGGAAATTAGGCAAATCAGGCTTAAAATTCTCCTGGAACCTTTCCCCAGTAGTGAAAATCTGCTGGTGGTTGTTATTAGTATCTTGGCTTTAGAGCTCCTTAAGTGACTGGATAAGCTAGTCTATTTTAGTAGTAGCAATTTTCTAATCTATCAGAAGACACTGGGGATGTCAACAAAGAAGACAAATTCTTCATGAAAAGCTATAAACATGCTTTACTCATAGAAAACTCCTAGGAAATGTAGCAAGAAAGGATACAGAAAAGTTTTAATGTGTTATATATATATATATATATAAAATAAAAATAAAGATAAGATACTAATCGTAAAAAAAAAAAAAAAAAAAAAAAAAAAAAAACTTATAGTTTTGTAGAGGTCTCCACCCATCCTGACTGAAGGAAGATGACTAGACTTTGTTGGAGAAGCAACAAAGTTGGGGGGAAATGATTAATTTCCATTCACATCTGCAGGCCTTTTCATCTAAAACTAACAGTAAGTAGTGCTTCAGAAAAAGGTGCCAAAGTCTGAACAGGAGTGCTGCATAATGGGAGGTGGTCCCTGTAGGTGAAGGTATTTGTAGAGCCTAGACATTCAGTTTCAAACTGTGTGAAATTGTCACCCTGCTAGTAATAGCTGGAAGAATTGAGATTGCAGGCTTATCTGGCATCTTTTGCCAGCATTATTTCAATTTTTACATGCTCCAAAGATCACTGATTCCTGTTCACAGCCCCTGTTAAATATCCTGAAATATCTCTCTTCTAGAAATTGTTCTGTTTCAGCCGTTCTTTTAAATAGATGCTTCCATGAGGAGGGATTTTGAGCCAGTTTTTGCTGTACAGCTCATTGTTTCTAATCTCTCCATTGCCATTACAATGGCAATCAAGTTCCTCTGCAATGCCCTATCTAGAAAATGTCTTCTTTTATTCGATTAGCTCCAAAGTTCGAGCCTATTACTTATTAATAATCTAATTCCACCTGTGCTCTGCATTGATCCCTGTGATCAGCACTGGCTCCTGCTCTGCTCTCAGCTTCCTCAGAGTAACATTTTCAAAGGTAAAAATTTCTAACCATCTATCTAGACAAGACTCCTGTACAATCAATAAGGACACAACAGCTCCCACACTTACCAGACGGCCCGGCAATTCTTGCTTTGCTCTTTGTTTTATCATTCCCAAGAACTGTCTCCTCCTCTAATAAGATCTATTTACTCCGTGGGCTCCAAGCTGCTGTGGCAGGGTATGTAGAGAAGAGGTGCCTTGCTTGCTCAGGAGGACTGAAAGGCTTAGAAAGCCTACAGAGAGATAAGAAGTGGGAGATTAGGGTCAGCGCTTCTATAGCCACTTAGGGAGGTGGATCCTGAACAGATTCTGTATGCCAAATAAAATTCAACATGAATGTGCTGTATTCTTCTTGCTTCATTAGGGAGCAGTATTCTTACTTTATTTGTTTTAAGTACTCATCTTTAAATAGTTCCTCTCCTCCAGATATCTTTTTCCAACAAGTACCTTTTTTGTCTTTTCATTATTTTTCCTTTTTTTTTTTTTTTTCTCCTGTTCTATGCTTGTAATTCATGTTGTCTGTGCTCCTTTCACTAGGGCATGTGGCCCCAAAATCCTCAAATCATGCCTGCCCTTAAACTAACATGCTGATTCCTAAAGTAATGTCCCAAATCTGTGTTTCAGCGTATAAAGTAGAAACTGTCTACAGAATTGGAGATAGGGTTTCTGGGTATATTGAGTCTCAGAAAGCCCTATCATGTATGTTACATCCAAATCCTAGTGTATAAGATAAGGTGGGGTGCATAAGATCAAGGAAGGCTGGTAGCCTACAGTGCGGTATATGAAGCAAGAGTTTTTTCAAGCCATGTCAACCGACTCAGATACACTGAATCTATATGTTAGCCATGTCAACTGACTCAGATACACCGAATCTATATGTTCACTGCACAAAGTAGAAGATTCTTCATACGGGCATGATGAAAGTAGAAGGCAGTACAGCAGGTTTCAATCATGTCAGAGATCTTATGACTTTATGCTGCTTAGCTACTGGGCAGTGTCACTTATGCCCAGCCCTTTTGCATTGCCCTCCACCTGTGTCCCACTAGCTCCAAGTTTTGTTAGTCTCATGGCCAGGTTGTCAGAATTACCTGGATCTCCTGACAGCACACAGACACTCTGGTCTGTGAAACATAGCACCCACAAGTCTTTTTGAAGAGAAAAGCCTTATTTCAACCCTTTTTCATTTATTCCATTGATTGTTGTTGGAGAAGATGCAGATGTTTCCCATTTGGCCAGTGCCTCCCTACATCCACTGACAGATGCTTGGCAACATCAGTGCTTATTTTCAGCCTCTCATCAGATGTACTGATGAATGTCATGTTTGCAGCAGTGTTGTCTTTGATGTTTTTCTAAGCTGTTCTATTGTGGCAAGCACAGCTATTCACAATTTTGGTTGCTGTGCTGTAGCCATTGAGTGGTTCCTGAGCCTATTTATTTTTCATTTCTGTCTTGAACAGCTAGAGGAGCGGAGCTTTTATCAGGATCAGCAGGAACAGATCAATTCAGTTCCAAGCATCCAGGAAAGAAACAGGAGAGATTCAAAAACACACTGGAATTTGAGATGGCCAAATCTATCCCAATAAATGAAAGATGATTGGGTATGCTCTTGAGTACTGAAGCCAACATACCTGTTGCACCCCACATCCATGAAAATAAAGTGTACTAGCCTGCAAAGGAGAGTGACTGCTTGCAAACTGCCTCCTTTGCATGGTTCCTGGAAGACCCTAAGTGCCAATTTGTGCCCAAGAATTATTTGAGAGGATACTTGTTTTCATGGACCAAAAACATGCTGGGGAGCATCCATCAGCACAGACAGCCCAGTCCCAGAATATTTCCTGATGTTGTTGGGTTGAGTAGAGCATGGCGTATCCTTAGAGGGGCTGGGTGTACGAGTTATGCTATCAGCAGGGGTGAAGGTTACAGAAGCACTGAGTTTGGAAAGATAAGGATTAGAGCTTTGTGCTATTCAAAGTGTAGTCTGCCTAGCCCAGATTGCTGATCACCGCTGGATTGTGTAAGAAGAGAATTCAGTTATACAACAAAGTGAGATTACTGGTGTTACTGGTGTTATTGGTGTTGCTGGTGACACCAGTGCTCCTTTCTTCTGGTTTGAAGAGTTTATTGTTTTTGTAAGGGAACATTTTGCAAGGAGAGAAATAAATATCTCACGTTTTCCCACTACTCTATTTATTCTGGAAGGTCAGTCATCTGCCCTGTAAATATAGAGTATATCATCATCCCTGCTATGGTATCCATGTTTCCCATCTTTCACTGGGTAGCAATATTGCTGCAACAGTGCTCTGACACAGAGGTGGGACCCGGGGGAGCAGTGAGTAGCTCTGAGTAGCTGCAGATGAGCATCAGCTTTCAGCAGTAACCATGACAAACCAAATCCGTACGTACAATGCGGGACAGTGGAGGTAAGATGCAGAGCATCAATATTCCTCAAGTTATGCCTCTGAACAAGAATTCACTTAACTGCGTGTCCCCCTGTCCTCATGTTAATAAAGGAAAATCTAGGCTAGTGGTACTGTTGTGCTTGGCCATCATGTAAGACAAAATGTGAATTAAAAAATCACAGATGTACCAAAGACTATATCAAAGGTTCCAAAGACCAGCACCAGTCAGTTCATACACCCCAAGATGAAGAGCAAGAACAGGTCCAGGACCTGAATGTACAGCTACTGGCTCATGATGAATCTGTGTATACAGACCTTCCTCTGGTTTAGCTGGCCACCAGGATTTTCCAAAAGTTCCTGGTTCTGTTGTGCTAGGCACAGTCTTACTGCTGTGAATGGTCCCTCATATATTCACAACCCAAACAGATAACGCAAGGACTGGGGTAGGACATGGAGGCAGCAGAGGGGAAGCAATCTCTTCCAGTCACAATGGGAGGTTAATTGCTGTCATTTGGGCAGCCCAGCTGATGCTGCCTTGTTTTTATGGACCATGTGCTTCTGACCCGTTGGGCTTTACTCCTTTCTAGCCACCAAAGTGTTTTGCTTTGCGTTTTTTAGCCTGACTGACCCAGATGAATCATGTCAGCCCTATGAAACACTCCTGAGCCCATCCTGCCTTAAATGAGAGTCAATGCTCCTAAAGAATCTCAGAGCTTTGCTCTCCCAGAAGGGCCAGAATGACTCCCCACAATATAAAGCAGCTCGTAATGCTCCTAAGCAGGATTGATCCTTCCAGAAGGTGGTGGGTAGTGTTCAGAAAGATTCAGCAGTCCCAGTCCCACTGTCTCTGCAAAACAAATGAACCAACCAACCAAACAAACAAACAAAGGAAATACGACATTTCCAGAATAAACACACACATACATACGTACATTTGGCTGTAAACACAAAGATTTGAGCTAAGCACAGCACTATAGGAACTGGTTTAAAAGAGAGAGTTACCTCTCTGCTGCAGGACTTTCTATTTACTGTGCTGGGATCCTTTCCACAGATAACACGGTCCACAGGACAAGTCCTTCAACTCCTGTGAAAATGGGCTATTGATTTTCTTTTTTCATTTAAAATTCTGTCCTTTTTTTTATCCCTGATGTGTTTTGCTGCTGTTTGTCTGAAGTCTACTGAGTTGCACAGGAATGAACAGAGAAGAAATATGTGCTTATAGTTTGCCAGGGAATTGCTGGTGCTGGGAGATTTCAATACCAAAAAGAAGGAGAGAAGGAAATGCCTAAGTAGGTTTTTTAATCAATTGTTCTGTCAAATGAAAGCAGCTCATGGGGTGAAGTAGCTCGTAAGTCAACACTGTGCTTAAAATCCTCCTGACTCAGAGCTGGGAATGGACTTTTTGGCTTAGGAGTCAAATAAAAATAATTGGTACATGCCAATAGATCTCCAAAGCCTTTGGGGAACTCCAGCTTGCGTATATTAACATGAATTTTCTTAAAAATATAAACTTAAAAAGACCTGAAGGGTATCCCCGAAATGGCAGTCAACATCTCCAAAGCAGTGCATAGGTCTTCTGAAGGATCTGCCTAACTCTTCTCAGCTGTTTCAAAAATATGAGCTGTAACCCACTTCCCCATGTACCATATATAATGTGCTCTCTTGCATGCTCTTTTATGCACACACACAGAACTACAATCCTTCAGTCATGTTTAAGCCTCTTATGCTAATATTCTGTCCTGACTTTTCACCTGATTTTGAAAAAATAAAAATAAAAAAAGATAAGAAATTGTCTCAAGCACAAGTGGGTTTGATTCTCAAAAGATTGTCTGTGTTGGGAACAAAAGGTGTCCTGCAAGAGAAGTTAAAAAGACAAAAAAATAAAGAGGATTTAAGGGGATTTAAGTTTTTCAAAAGAAAAAATATACACAATCTTTTCCTTAAGTATAAATGAAGAATAAAGGAAGAGCAAAAGACAATTTACACTGAAATCTGAAATACAATGGTGATGGGGGGTAATCAGCTTATGGGCTGCTTTCATACAGTGAAGAAAATCATGCACAGTTTTCAGAGACACTTTCAGATCTCACTGCCTTCGAAGAGCAGCCCTTTAGTAAGCAGGAGCTCATCAGAGCAGACCCATACTGTTTTCTGCTTTCCACTTGCACCATTGTAGATGTGAGGGACAAATCCAATCAGAGTCGTATATTCTCATGAAAATGAGAAATAATTTTAGCTTCATCCATCCCATGAAATATGACAAATTACAAACTAGCTACAGTCTGTAGACAAGAAAGTAGGTGACTTCTTACACCTAGAGGATCTATACCATAATTTTCTTTTCAAGTCCAGAACACTTGTTTATGTAGGGCTCATCTTCACTAACTGCTTGCACAAGGAAGAGGGGCTAATTCTGTTCTCTGTTCAATTTTTTTGCTCCTAAATATTGCTGTACCCAGAAGTTGGGAAGTTTGAAAGGCAACCTGAAAAAGAGAAATGGAACCAAATGCCTTCTCTTTTGCCAATGTTCACACTTCTAAGGCAGATAATACAATAGGCAAAAAGGTAGCCAAAAATATCAACAGTATGACTCCACGGGTAATTTTTTACTGGCTAAGACTGCATGCAATATACTCAGAAAAGACATATTTCACCTCCCCCATAGTCTCTTTCAGACCACTACTTAGCTCACAAGTCTCATTCATGAAGCCCAGTCCATTGGAAAAGCAGGAACCAGAATGCTTGCTGGTGTTTGTTAAAGATTTATGATGGACTTGTAAGCTGTCGCACTCAAAATCTTGCTATGGCCAATATACATATGAGGTATTG